TTGGTTGGTCTGATCAACATATGCCTAGCATATCTTACATATACAAAATTTAAAGTGAAAAGTAAAATATAATTACTTACTTTATACTTTTGCCTCTGTAATATAATAAGCCTAGTATATTAGGATATAATAGGTAGTAATCAACAATTCGTTCTTTTATTTCCCTTTGACCTGAAATAAATATAGGTATTCAATTATAATGCTTACACTTGACATATTTTTTCCCGTTAAAGAAAAACGATGGAAATGGTGTTTAAAATTAACTTAAATGAAATATATCAATAGTAATTCAGTAATAATAGTAACATTATTATCATAAGTTTGACGTTTATACCTAAGCAAACATTTTATAAATTATTACTAATTTGAAAAAAATACTGATAAAAAAAAATTGTTTATTATTTTTTTCCAGTTATTTACCAACTTAATTTAAAAAAAACTTACAGATATATTTATAACGGGATTGTAGATTTTAGTATCCTATAATAACAGGAATAAGAGTAAGATAATGTCAGTTGTCATTATTAAGAACAACTATTTGTTACAAACAATGTTACTTTTAATAATTTCTGACAGATATACATTTTAAAAACTTGTTTTGGTATGATAAATAAAATAATAGACACGATTGTAGGTTATCAAATAAGTTGGTACGCAATAGATCAACATATTTGGTCCCCGACGGAAAACATCACAATTTGAAGGTGCCTTTTACTTTACAAATAAAGCTATTTCATTTATCTTTATTAATATGTATATAAATATATGATAAATTAAACATTATTTGTTTTAAAAGAAATTAATTAATATAATAAGTACTCATCTAGTATTCAGTACTTTTTAACGTAGTAGAATTGCCGAACAAACTGATGACCTCCCAGTTGGTTAGTGGTAGATATCACCAATATATATAAACAGCACTACAGCCATCACGTTATCATGTGATACCCGTGATATTCATTCCGGAGGACTGAGATGTCAAGCTTCTTGTCCTGTAATTTCACTGTCTTATGTCCCTTTTCTTTTATTTTCTCTAACCACCAAAAGGGATTGCTTAGCGATAACACCACTTTTTGTGTCAGTTTATATATATTTACTAATTTTTTTTTTGTTATATAATTGGTGCAATAAAGAGTATAAATTAAATAAAAAATTAAGAAACAAGCAGTTGTGTGACTGACATAGGGTTTTATAGTCTCTAATAGTTAATAATAGAGTACTCGCGCAGTCGATTTTATACAGAAATAAGGTTACATCACTGAAATTTAATGTATAATTATAACATTGTACAAATAATGAAATTTTATCGAACACGTTTTAATTATTAGAGTAATTAGGTATTTACGGATTGATACAGCTAATTATTAAAAAACCGTATAGAAATACATCGATATTCAATAATGATTAAGATAAGTAAATTGATATTTGATATCACTCGGCACTTGACGTTCGTATCTTATCAGAATAATTAATTGCCAAATTGCTTAGTGACGGCTAAAAAGGTACACTAGCTGATTGGTTTTTGTATCCATGGAAAGCGTTAATAATAGAAAAATCATGGCACGATATAACACGGTTGTCCTCTGGAATGATAACCCATGGGAGGTACTGCAGGCATGCTCGATGTAGTAACTTTATTGTCACCACTTTCATTAATGGGTCGTCAGCTTCTATGCCGTTCCATTTAAAAAATATAATAGCATAATCTAAGATATATCATTATACATGATATATCTTAGATATCATGAAAGTTATAATGAATATACAAATAGGATTAGCATAAGGTATAAAGTCTGTCCTATAAATAACAATAAAGTGGAAAACTCTACTTGTACTTTGTTGTTTCAAAACTTGCCCTTTATTTATTCATCACAAAATTATGTTCTGACTATATCAGACATTAGATCTTGTACACCTATAGAATGTGTATTATTTTTACTTTCTAGTTTCTAGTACCAGTGGTAGTAGGTCTTTTAACTATGTGTCATAAGTAAGATGGATATATTGGACCGATATTTGAGATATACTAAACTACAGAAATTTATTAAAATAATTAATGATAATGGAACAGCTGAGAATGACAATTTTATATTATGACTGATTATTATTTACAATTAATATATATTAAAAAATGAGTTCTATAAATAAGTTTAGTAGTTTTGGATATATGTATGTCAACAAATAATAAATGAATTAAATAATGAAAAGCTAATGTTTGCTGATTTCTCAAGTGCTCTCTTTTCATTAAGATTACACCTAAATACCATATTTGTAGATTAGATAAGTATCTAAGAAATTAATAAATTAAATAGTTCAGTTTCAAAATCATTAAAAAAATTAACGTTTGTCGTTATAGATGATAATCAAAATACTGTTGTTTTTGGAGAAACTGAACTTGAATATTAATTTATCATGTGGAATATAATACGTTTGTTTATAATTTATCATAACCGTAATTTGATGTAGGCCACGAAATACTTAGCATAAACATAACCGTGATATACATCTTTGTAACTTTATGAGTAATAAAAAATAAAGCTGAAAACAAACCTTATTTAGTTGTGTGTTACGAGTATTGCTTTATGTAACTCGTAGATTGTTAGGCAAATAAAAATATTTATTAATACATGTAATAAAGCTTTTATACATTTATTTGTTTAAGGAAAACATACAGCTATTTTAGTACTTACATTTAGTAAAGTACAATTTACATATAGTTAGAGAATTAAGTATTTACAGATAAAAAAAGTGACAGTGAAACAGTCAATAATAACTAGTTTATAAGTCAATTATTATGAATAGGTACCTATATGCGTATTGATACACGATCGTTGTGTAATTTTTTACTATGTAAGTAGAGTTACCTACCAACTGTAAACCGCGACTTTATTCGCGTGAACACGTTATCTTATGTACCCGTGGGAATTTCAGTTTCTTCAAAATTCCTTCTTAGAGAATGCCTTTGTGATAAAAGAAAGAAAAATAATAGGTATACGAAATTAAAAAAAAATGTTTATAATTAAAGCCTAATTAATTCATCTGCTGTGATATTGAAACAGCTGCTTACAATATAGATATCTACATTACATTAAAAAAATAATACCTATAATATATATAAGTGGTATAATGAGTTGACTTGTTGTCCCTATGTAAGGCTTTTGAAAAATGCACTTATATTTTGCATCACATACCTACAACGGTCCATTTTTAACGAATTTGTAAAAAAATTATACCAGCATCATTACATTTATACTATACTAGCTGCGCCCCACGATTTCACCCGCATGAAATTTATAGCCTATAGGTAGATATGTTATTCTTATGTATAAGCTGTATATATATATATATTACAGTAAAGTTTCATCAAAATCCGTTCTGTAGTTTTTGCGTGAAAGAGTAACAAATATTCATCCAGTCACAAACTTTTGCATTTATAATATTAATAAGATGTTTTATAATGTTCATATGTAATGCGGTAAAATCATACTTTATTGATGAAAATGTACACATCTAGTTTAAATTACGTAATTAAGGTATTGGTTAGTCGAGAATATTATGTATAAGATTTTCCATAGAGTACTATGTAGAGACTTGCAAATTTTAATTCTATAAGTTACTTCGAATTCCGATGGATTATCAGTAGAATTCATATGCGAAAGTGGAGACTTTTGGAATGATTTTCGTATCTGTTTGTTCGGTAAATAAAGTACGAGTATGTAGATACAAACGTTCCTAAGAGTCATCAAGAGAGCTATATTTTAGTAGTTATATCTAATACATTTGATAATGTGATATCATTACTTATATCTACACGCCTATGTCTTTAGTTTCTACATACATAAATATTGAGATTTATAATGTGTCAGACTGTTAGTTTATTTGAAATTACAAACTAAATAATGTTTTGAATTAATTTGAAATGCTAATCACAACAGACTGCTTGGCGGCTGTGTAAATTGTCTAATCAATATCTATCTACTAGTAGTAGGTATGTTAATATACATTGTCAGTTATTATAACTTACTAAGTAGCTAAAACTTGTGTCTGCTTAAGGTTGTAGATTGAAAATTTAATAGTGCTCACGCATGAAATGAAGGTATGCTGGTATTTATGGAAATATGATTGTAAATTTGGGAAATGATTCATATTTATTTTACACATATATACTATAATATGACTTTCATCGGATAAAGAGATGTTATCTTATTTTCACATACCAATATCTACGATAGGCATACGAAATGCTAGACAATGATATTCATAAACATAGCAGCTGGGAGCGGGAGCATGACTCAGATTACAAAAACGTGAAACAATATTCAACGATTGTTTTTTAAATTGATCCGCTTTGAAAGTATAATTTAGTGCAGTAGATAATTTAATACAATAAATGCACTTATTGCGTTTATATTATATCTCAATCTAAAAGCAGCTGAACAGAAGTCATTAGGCTATCTGGCGTCATTTCAAGTAATATCTGGTTTTTCATCGAGTGTCAAGTAACTAGCCGTGCGTCCACGATAGATATAGTGAAGAGATACGTCCAGTGAATTTAGTAGCAATAAAAATCACTGCTCGGTTGGCTAACAACGCTTAATGCGCCCTTATCGCTTATCACGGCGGTATCGAGTGTTGTTCGCGCGATATCTCCTAATCAAATTGGGAGCGTATCGATATCTCGCACGTATTACGATTGCGCACCACTATTATCTTAATTGATTGTCTTTTTTTGACAAAATACCAGCTTCGGATTATTTTCATTTTACTTTGATGTTGCGCAAAACACCAAGTGACTTTTTACAAGTTATTTCAAAAACAGTGAGGTCTTCAATTCGATGGTTTCTTTATTGTGTTCATGTTACGCGATGTCGCGGTAAATGCCGATTGGATTTTGATGATTATTATTTTAATTGAAAGTATATATCTCAGTATTAATTTCCAGATTATTTTATCAACATTATTTGAATGAAATTTTAATATAATTTATGTTTCTTTTTCAGATTCGTGCAATATGATTTCATCCCTAAGATTAAGAGCGTAATTATAGAGTCGTAACAGCAAAAATGCTAAGACTGATCTCGACTGATATCGATTAGTGACAAGCGCGAGCCTTCCCAAAACGATTGACTGTTGAAATGCGGATAAGGGGGTGGACTTACAGTGCGTGTGTATAAAAGCGATGCATGGTGTGTGAGGTCGGAGCGGCGGTCATGGACATGAGCGGAGAGGGCGGCGGCGCGGGCGCGGGGGCGAGCGCGCTGCAGCAGCGGTGGTACGAGAGCCGCGTCAACGGCAGCCCGGCCGCCGGCGACGTCAACTCGGAGGCGAATGGAGACGGGTTCTTCCATTCACCCCTAGAAGGCGGACACCACAGCCGCGCCCGCTACTACCATCAACAAATGCACGCCCCCTACTCGGCCGCGGTCAGTTCGCACGGTGAGTATTGCTTTACTAAATACCCTTCTCATTATGATCGAAGTGTATGTAACACTAGATTCATTTGTAGGTAGAAACATAAATCACAATTTTAATTAGCATCTGCAACATGTCATAGTAATTAAGTGAGCAAAGTGGACCTCCAATTCCGCGAGCGAACCTGTCAGATTTAAGCAAATTGCTCCCACGGCCGGTAGGCAGCCGACGGACGTTATCGTCCATCAAACGATATCTCTCCAAAACTCCACAATTAATTCAACGGACCCGACCAGTCAAAATCGCCATTCTGTAAGGTGACAGGTTAGGTAAACACGATCTAAAATGGGCCTCGGCAGTAAACGAAAAAAATAATACCATCTTTTTGTTTTTTCTTTTGAGGTTTAAATTTTATGGCCGCTATAAAGTTTTTCGTGGAGACAGGTGGCTCTTCTTTATATTTTAACTACACTTATGGGCGCGTACAAAAGTTCATCTAGAGTATCGCGCTTAGGGACTAGATTGGCGTGGGGCCCGGCGCCCGTGCACGGACACGGGCGATTCGAATTTATTTAGCGGTGCGTCGGTAGTGATGTGACACTTAAGAAACTGTGTCACTTCTCAGAATCGGAACTGGGAATTGATTTCGTCGCGTTCACAGCAGTTATGTATCGTAGTTTATGGGAATCCCTGACGAACACGGGCAGGGTACCGCCGCGGCCGGCGGGGACCGGCCGGGGGGCGGAGGGCGGCCGAACGATATTTGGGTTGTTTGTAAACTTTATCGTGTACTGCCTTGCTCGATGTGGCTTCTTGTCATTCTGATTATATCTGTATCTGTATATTTGGTCGGTCAAAATCAACACCGCGTCGGCTTCTCCATTAGGTATACATATGAAATTACATGAAATACTTTTCGTCAGGCTCGAGATAACTGATAAAATGCTTATTTTTACTTTTTATGCTACTTTGGGAATATTTATATTTGATTTAAATAATGAAGAATTTTACAAAACAAAACAGTTCACATTAATTGTGACGACATTCAGAATTGTTTAGAAACCTATATTAAACATAATAATCGTTTCAAAAAATTATAAATTAAACAGACTTTGCATGGCGTAGGTGGTGAACGCTATTAATATTCTTTACTTTGCCTGGATATTTGCAGTTACGAAGTTGTAAAAAGTATTTTTAAGTGTACTGAGGGGCACATAAAGTGGGTGCGATGACAACTGGCATCGTTTTCACTCGGGACGCGGTTTTACGAGCGGCCGCGCCGGGTCGCCTACTGGGTCCTTCCACTTTATACTGAATAGTTTATTTACTTGTCCGTCTTGCATATTGGTTATTATCGGATAATGCTCGTGTTTAATGCGCAGCAGATATTTTATGTGCACATATTTTTATAGGTGTATATAAATAAATAAACTTAGGTTTGGACAGATTTTCCTGTGTCGATGATTCTTCTACGATAGGTATACATGCATCGTATGCCTATCGTATCGTAACTTATATAGGTATTTATAGATATTAACACAAACAAAGACAGATGACACAAATCTTTAACTTAGGTATGTGAAAGCTAAGCTGGCACTGTGTTATTTAGTTCTTTTATTGGTACTATATTGATATTACCTTGATATCACAAAATTTTGTTTTGTTTTAACAATCCTCTAAATTTGTATGACATATTTTGTCTAGACTTCTACTTGAAAATTTGTGATGAACATTAATAATAGTTTAACTACATTAATTTTTTTTTAGTTCAGTTCAGCATATCGAGAAGACCTAGAAACAGTAACTCGTTTGTTATTTCAAACAAAATATTATTAGATGTACCTACATATATAATAAAATTCTGTTTAAAATAGTACAAAAGATTTGATATTGTTAAGTATAAAGAGTAATAATGTTATTTAGGGATTAAATATCTATTTATAGTTATATATTGGAATCTAACCTCCGGCGAAGTTCAGTTAATTTTAAATTAGTTATATTTTAAATCTCGCACAGTACCAATAATACGTCATATAGTCACATCTTGACGGGTATAAATAATATCGGTTGCTATAATGCCACTCGTGACCCTATAAGTAATACGATATCGGGCCATTTTGACGTCACTTCCCTTATTTATGGGCCAGCAATGCGATTGATGACACGCTCAAAATTATTTATTTGGATCCGTCCAAAACTTTTATAGTTGCTTTACCCGTTTAAACTTCTGTAATGTTACACCTGGAACACTAAAATGTTACAGGGCACTGAAATGTAATATCTACACATAATTAGCTATAATATCAGTGTTACATTTAACAAATTAAAATGTCCAATAGTAGACTATTGGACATGATTTATATTTTATGTAGGTACAGAAATGTTAATGAATCGTAGACACAAATTGATTAAACTAGTTAGTTGGTTCGAGTTTCATATTGAAATCTGTTTAAGTGCATAAATTTGCTGTTATGGAGTTGGTATAGGAATATTAATAGTTATCTACATAAGTATAATACGCACATTTATTGTAACTTATTGCGTTCTATATGAAAATTCTAAATTCCCATTAGGTATGTTATTTAATTTTTTTAGAAGCAATTTTTCAAAGTAATGGGTTATTATGTCTTCAATAATTAATTAATTTATATAATTAATTCCATGAATCTGTTTGTTTGTTATCTACCATTTCACAACCAAACGGCTGAATGGATCACTATGAAATTTTACGTAAAGGTAGATTGTATCATGACTACGGACATAAACTTGTTTCCATCTCAAAAATAGCAGACAGTCGCAGGTATCTTCTTGTTCTTTATAAATGACAAAAAGTTTTGTTTAATTATAGTGACAGATATTATTATTATATATTTTAATAAGGTATAACATATTTGTATCGACACTTAGGTACCTAAGTGTAACCTTGTGTAGGTACTTACTTAAGTATATAAATATTATTTACTTACGTAGTTGTCATCTGTTAGTTGGTAGATTGTATCTATAAGTACCAATCAGGTATCAAAATTATAATTATGAGTATAGGTATAGTTATAATGAATTATATATACATACTTATGAAATAATTATGTAGTTTCGAGGTATTACCTATAAGTAATAACATCTACGTATTTATAGGTAAGTACTATTTATATTTTAAATAACTACATTATTTTATTTATTTAATTTCTGCTTCAAACTTTAATTCAAGTGCAAAATCGTCACTCTTTCTTAATTTCATAATTACAATATTTGGCTCAGGTAAATCAAAACAATTAAAATAGTACCTCTATTTTTTTGCAATCGAGTTAATAATAACTTAATAGGAACACAGATATTCCCATTCATTGTCAACAAGCTCAGCTCTAATATGGTCCTTATTGTAAAGCGATACAATTCACATTGGAATGGGATAATTGTGGTAATCGCCAGCCTGTTATCTGATCGTGTCCCGTTGATAATTATTTTCCCTTGCATACATACTGTTATTTAATGACAATGGTTATGAAAATGCTTGCATTTGCCAAATGCAGTGTTTGCCGGTGGGTGCGTGTGTGCGTTTTGTGTGTGCGTGTGTGGGTTACGGTGAGGCCTCAGATTGGTGCAATTAACCGGGGGGCGGGGCCTGCGTGCGCGGCGACATCTCCTCCTAGAGGCACGCTGCGTCTGCGCATCGAGACGTGCTAAATAATGTTGCCACCGCTAATTAGGTTTCCCTTTTTGCTAATAAAAGTATACCTATATAACAAACATACCCCATGTTTGTTTTAAATTCTTAGGATATGTTAAACTGTTTAGTTAACTCTTGTTTGGTAAATATTTGGGATATTATTACAATACTTTCTCGTACCTATAATTTTTTTCTGACTATAATCAATCACTTCTGAAGATGGGTTTCTCAATAAAGGGAATTTTATTATCTCAATCTCATTTTGCTAGCCAGGCATCTTAGTTTAAAATATAGTTATCTTCAAGTTAATAATATATTTATTATATAACTCAATAAATATATTTTAATGATGTAACTCAATGATATTAAACTATTGAAAGAAGTATAGAAATTCATTAAAATCAAGTATTCATTAATCTGAAAAGTTGTATCTTGATTGCCAACTCACACATGCATAGAACAATGGCTCTACTTTGAAATTATGTGATACATCTCGGTATGAGTCATAAAGTGAAAGAGCATTTTACTCTGTTAAAACTTTTCGCTAAAAACAATAACAATAGGTAGATATATAAAAAATATATATCGTTATGGATTTAGACATAGAGAGAATCCCAGCTATGAATATATACAGCAGGGTATATACCACACAAATGATAGACAATGTTTAATAACGGTTTTGTTCTATATACATAGGTACCTATACGTAGGTATTACGTATATATAATATAACGTTTTTGCTAATAAAAATAGACGTTAGGACTTATGAGTATCTGCAAAATGTTTATATTTTTCGAGAAATGAACCAGCCACCGTTCGAAGACGAGGTAGTGTGTTAAACCACTATATTACCTTATATCAACTAAGTAGATGTAGCTATGCTTACCTTAATTTTAAAGGAATTATGAGACTGTACAATGCAATTGTTAAACTCCTAATGTAATTAAAATAGGTACGTTCCCGTTTATAAGGTAATTCTATATCTGATATCTTTAGGACCATTGATAGTAATCCATAACAATTCACACAGTGCCATTCAGTCCCAAGATACGTAGAGCTTTTGTTATGGGTACTAAATGACTGATACAAATACGTAAATACATTTTTTTTGCAAAAATACACAAAATATATACAGAAGAAAACGCTTAGACCGATATAAACAATTATACCTACTCATGAATTACATAGGAAATTGTACGGTGCGAGGAATCGAACGCGTGACCATCGGAGATAAAGCGGTATGCTAATCTACTAGACCATCGAGGCCGTCAATATACTCACATGAGGCAACACCGTAATTAAGCATCCTTAGTTGCAATAGGTGAAGGGGTTTCGGCTGCTACTCTATGCTGAGCAT